ATACAGTCCTCTTTATTAGGTGTACAAAGAAAGTCCTCGTTTAAATTTTTATAAAGTCTGGAAGATCAATATAGATACTACTCCAGAAAAAAAAAAGAAAAAAATTGTTTACATCCGGGACTCCAATGTTATTTCAATGTCCTGTTCTATGATCAGTAAAAATCTGTTTTTAACGATTCATCGGTTCTAGTTTTCGAAGCTTCAGCGAAGGATTGGACGTAAATGTAGCTTGGTTTTGGTGACAATCCTCTGAATCGGGAGACTGAAACATGACCCGACCTCGGTGATTAAATACATAAAATGATGGATGGTTTCTTAATGTGTCAAAGGTTCTTTGTGGGAAATAAAAATAAAAAAAAATTAGTAATCATGTTATTTACAATGCCATTAGTCAACCCAGCATATTGACACAGGCAACATTTTTCTTCTCTCTATTTTTATTATACTATATACTAAACCTCCTATTAAATTACAGACTGAGCTACAGTCTGTATAACACTATTCTCACGCGCACGCTGCAATTTTGAAAATTTTTATTTTCGTTACATTAATATACAACTTTGGCTAATAGAGTAAGATTTAATTGTATATTACATGATTACACTCCTTGATATACTATTTCCTTATTTATTTTAACCTCTGCTCGTTAATTCACAGCATTGTTCTTTAGGATGCATTAGAGGTTTACTAGGCTATTCAATTTTCTGAGACAAAAGGACAAGCGCATAGTCAGGCAATCCTTTACAAAAGCCAGATGGAGCCCTCAGGGAGCCACATTCCCCTCACCATGTCTGTTCAAAAACTAAAAATTTGAGTAGCTTAACCTATTCTTCCAAGGGCAAGCAGAGAACTCTGCGACCTGACCTGCCTGAAAAAAAACACTGGGGTGCTCAGGGTGGAAGTTGCTCTTGATAAGGCTAGAGGTGGGGACTGCATTATGGGTTTTTAACATTTTCAAATCTACCTAAAACTACTCATTTTTAATTACTTCTGCTTGAACATTTGAAAAAAAAATAAAAAAATGATGTGGAACTGCAAGAAGGGAAGGTTTACCAATATGGAGGAGAGAAGAAATAGAGGACCAGTAAGGACTAATTTGTATGGTAGAGGGAGGATAGGGAACAATAAGTGGGTGAGGGCGTTGGTAAGGAACTGGATAGAGAGATGAGAGACAGAAGGAGAACTGAAATGGAGGGAGTAAGAACAAAGAAGTCCTTAATGCAGGAAAAAAACAAAAAAGATGGTGGAAGTGGAAGAGGTATAAAGAGTTTTATAAGGGGGTCAGCAGAGATGGGACTGGGAGAAGAGTGAACTGAAAGAATACCTGAAGCATCCATATGTTTTGTTTTATTAGAGCATTAAGAACAACTATTATGTTTTGAGTTAAAAACAAAGATATGCGATACACTGTATAATTAAAGCAATTAATCTATTTACTGGAAAGAAAGATAGACAGATATAAATGAAGGCATACTTATTCTTTAATTCTGACGTAGCATCCATGTCTTTAAATTCTCCAGCAATATGCACAATGCCATAGCAGGATACTACAAAAGCCAACAAGGTTTGGAGAACTATCTGCAATTCAACCAGAGAACATATTTGGTTTTTTAAGATTCTCAGTACATTTGACAGCAATATAAATCTGGCCAGTGTATATATAGTACAATAAAAATTCTATTTTTATTTACACTAAAGGGTAATACAGTGGTTTCCAAGATTAACTGTAATAGTGTGTAAACATGCTCATTTATTTTATATCAGTGGACATGTCATCTTAGAAACACCAACTACAACTCCCAAATTCTCAGCCAGACTAAGACATGGAATGCAGTATGTAGAGAGTCATGTTAGGGAAGGAACATTCTTTAATTCAAAAGAAGAAATCCAGAAACATTTTCAAAGTCATAGAACATCCTGATTTATTATTAACCGTACTTACATCTATTGGTAGCGTCTCGTCTTCCTTTTCAGTAAGTCGCATGTAGGAACGATCTACAGTTAAAAACATTGAATGTTAGCACAGGGGATTTAAACAAATACTGTTTGGGAGCAAACGAAAATTATCCTTGTAAGCACTGGGTGCGCAATAATTAAATGTCTATTCAGTTATTTTCAAGTCAGTAGAGCCCCCTGCTCTGTCTTTAGGATTGATTTTAATACACAAGACTTTGCCATCATAGATATGATGACACTTGCATTTATTAGTGCACCAATCCATCCCCATGAGTATGTCAAGCTTCTCATGCACACATGCAGTTTCCCTGCCTAATCATTCAATGGAGGTAGAATGCCAGATGTTTGGTGTATTGGCAGGACTGATATTAAACTTAAGGCTGACATTTCTAAACAAATCTTTTTCCACACTGCATATTCCAACAGTGAGGATTTTCCCATCTGTGTAGGATCCTCCATTGGCTATAGTGGTTATGGTGCCTGGAAAGCCCCTTTAGGGTAAATCACTTTACTAAACAATGGTGAATATTTTATTCTCATCAACTTTCATTATATACACATGCCTTTATATTTATTTATAAATTAGGATGGATACATTGAGATTTCTCTCATTTTCAGGTATGTCCTGGGTTTCAAATATGAAATGGAACAGAAAAATAGTCATGTTGGACAGGTGTACAAATTTCCAATAACTCAGAATAGGACATAAAGGAATCTAAAAATTCACCACTAGGAGGACTAACACGTCTTCACAATATCTATAAATCTGTGGAACTCTGCAGTCCGGTTTCACTGCTTTAAACTTACCAGCACCATGGATTACTTTATATAGTGCAACATATATTGGATCTCTATATACGAAGTAACTACAGAGTGGACAAGAACAAATCTTCTCAGAAGAAGTATAAATAATGTAAATAAAATATACACCAAAACATGTATTTAGGAAAACTGCCTCCTTAGCTCCGATGTAACCAGCACATAGAAACATAGAATGTGACGGCAGATAAGAACCATTCGGCCCATCTAGTCTGCCCAATTTTCTAAATACTTTCATTTGTCCCTGGCCTTATCTTATAGTTAGGATAGCCTTATGCCTATCCCACGCATGCTTAAACTCCTTTACTGTGTTAACCTCTACCACTTCAGCTGGAAGGCTATTCCATGCATCCACTACCCTCTCAGTAAAGTAATACTTCATGATATTATTTTTAAACCTTTGTCCCTCTAATTTAAGACTATGTCCTCTTGTTGTGGTAGTTTTTCTTCTTTTAAAAGAAAAAGGAATGGCTGGCAATACAGCGATGAATAAGTACTCAAACGCACTTTAATACATGCAGACTTTGCATTTCATTTGGTTTTAAAGAATATTCAACAACAATGCTGGGCATGTTTAAACGTAAAACCTCTGTCAAATACCATATTTAACCACATGGTCGCCGATTTTAATTCCTTTCCTTTAAAAACGGGGGTTCGACCATTATGCTGTGTGCAACAGTTATGTGAAGCTTTATTTTTTGTGATATTATATGCGACTATCATGTGGAGCTTTGGGGTTTTTTTTGTTTGTTTTTTAATAGTTGCTGATAATACTATAGTTGCTGAGAACATAACAGTTGCTGAGAATATGCATATTTCTTAATGCATTACATAAACTCTGATCCTGATCCCTGTCCTCCTGTTTTAGCTAAGAACATGCACATTTCCTAATGCATTACATAGGTAAAATGCACTAAAATACAAAAAAACGATAGGTAATAAATCGTGTCTAAAGTATAAGATTAGTAGGATGTTCGCCATCAGTTTTCAAGAATAAGAATGTCTCACAACAAAAACAGCAATGGTCAGTTATGCGACTATTACGCGATGAAATGGATTTGAACAAATTTTTGGACTGAAAAATCAGGGTGCTACCATTATGCTGTGAAATACGGTATGCATGGTAGCACAGCCTGGCGAATAAAAAATGAGAAGAAGCACTCTGACCAAGCGCATATGTGAACACCTACATGTTTATTTACTTAACCCAATTTTAGTGAAATGAAAATCAAATTACGCAGTGTGGGCTAAAACAGCAATGCTAGAGCACTTTTCTAAATGAGCATTTTTTCAATTCACTTAGCAATTCAGGGTTTAAAGACCAAACACCCAAGTTAACAGCAAGGAAAATAAGGAATTAAACACTGGAATTAATTATTTGGTCAATATGTATTTGCTGAATCAATTGTCCCCATTATATCAACCTATCAAGACGAGTAAAATGGATTCCCCTGACAGTTAAAAAGGTATTAGAGAAAGGGTTTTAAAAAAAAATGCTATTTCTCCCTGCTCCGACAGTGAAAACACAATCTGCGAGATATCTTGCCCTTCATATACTGCCTGAAGCAACCAAAAACTAAATGCAAGTACGGGGGCCTTCTACAGGCCGGCTTACAGTGACCTCGAGCACGTCCTGAGCAGGGGACCTCGTGGGGGACACGGTGGAGTTGTGGTTGCCTCACACAGAGCCTCCACTATGCAGGCATCCATGCTCCAATTACAAACAGCCCAACAGGTATCATTGTAATTATCGGCGCAAGAGGACAGGTACCGCCGCAACCACATAAAGATCAGGGGGATACCTGCTACTGTCCCTGGAGAAGAATTGCCAAACTATGTGAGGAGGCTGCTAACCACGGTGCTGCCACCCACCACCGCAAGAAAAATCAATATCGCTGGGCTATATCACCTACCGACGCCAACCACAACTACTTCCACAGTGCCCGGGGACATCATACCCCGATGTACACTAAATCAAAACAAAGGGCACATCATGGCAGTGGTGAGGAACAAGACCCCACTTATATTTGAGGACTCCCAACTGTCCTTTTACCAGGACTTATCCGAAACCACATTGCAATGGAGGAAATCCTGGAGCCCTCTCACCACCTGACTGCGGGCCGCAGGAGTGACCTACAGATGGAGGCGCCAAGATCCCTCCTCGTCTCCCACAAGGGTCAGGACTGCAAAGTTTTAACGTTATGATTTTGGTTTCATGTTTATGTTTTCGCTTATTCACCCACACGGTGACACAATAATGGGCCTGGGATGCCTAGGAATAAGGAGCCCTGGCTAACCATATCTCACTCACACTCGCTTAATAGTTCCATTTATGGCCCTGGTCCGGTTTCACAATGCCATTTATAGCATGCCACTGTACCGTACGCACAGACCGCACCGCCCCCCCCCCGACACCCCCTTGGTTAGGGGCACTACCTCCACCGAGAGGTCCGCTACGCACAATGGTAGACACCCCCCTCTCATGAGGAGAACAACACACACAAACAGCATTCACTTGCAGAATGTCGCTGGCCTTCAATCTAGGTCTACCCCACAGACCTGTACATGTTCCTAGGCCTGATCACACGAGAGCCAACACAAATGGTCCGCAAATACCTGCACTCCCCTCAGAATATATACCTCTTGCACCACCCTCCCTAGGCTTAGACGGAAAACACAAGTGTTCTTACGCATCATGATCATTAGAAGCTCACTAGGGACACACTCATGATAGAATAAAATAAAAATATATACATAACCACAATCACAGTATATGTTTAATGCTAGTTATGAAACACCGTTGATATGCTAAAGTGATATAAATGCATCTATATTACACAATGCACACCTAAATAAAGAATTTTTTTTTTAAAGTAAGCTCACAGCAAATAGGTATAGGAATTGATTTAGATATTTAAATATATGTGAAGAGCGACAGTTATAATTTTTTATGCTTAATGGGACACTAAGCGCCAGAATTACTACAGCTTTTAATATAGTGGTCCTGCTGCACATTAACTGTTCTGATTTGTAAACAATGCCTTCACTGAGAAAAGGTAGTGTTCACACATGTCCCTAAGCATAGTTCTAGTGGCTGGAGAGGACCTTGTGTTGTGATTTAGCAAACGTTGACCACAGTCTTCACCCTCTGCATGAAGATACCGAATGCTCGCCATACTAAACAGTCAATTATTGATAATTCAACGTGTATTTCAAACTTGGGATAAAACTGAAAAATTAAAAACATAGGTAATAAGAAGAATTTTTCTAGAAACATATTTACTTTTAATTTTCAACAACTTATATTTGTCTCTGCAACCTCCAGCTCTTAATTCAATAGTGCAGAATAAGAGGTGTGTGTGTGTGTGTGTGTCCCTCCTCAAGAATACTTTAAGTACCAAAACCTCTATCTTTATGTAGTGGTTTTGAGGTACAGATGCTTTCCCTTCACTCCTCAAAAACAGCAATATTTACATTTACCTGAAAACACGTCAAACACTGTCAAGTATATACACACACACTAGAACCTTCTTCCTTGAAATTCTCCTATTTATAAAGGACTGCTGGCGTCATGAAGCACAGCGTGATTAAATGAACGCAGCTAATGCTTCTCATAAAAAAAAAAAAATACTTAAGCAGATTGTAGCCATTGCCTATCATGGCTCTGTATGTCCCAAATTCTTAGAGAAGCATTGTACTGGATAAAGATCAATGTGTTTATGATCTCAACATCTGTCTCTGCACTGGGTTACAGGTGAGTTTACCTGCTTTATAAAAATGTATTTTTAAAACAAAAATGAAGGGGGGGGGAGGGGTGGATACCATAACTCCTAGGGAACTCATCATACATAAAAAATATATATATATATATATATATATTTATTTTTATTTTTTTTTTTTTTTTTGAGTTCCTTTAAATAGCTTTATTACAATTATTTTTTTTACCATTAGCTTGAATTCTATGATTGGGCTGCATTAATACACTCAGAGAGCTGCATTCCAGTTGTCATATTAAAGATAGAGAGAGCCATTTGATTTGTGCGTATCATTACACCGAGATCTGGGTTCATTTAGGGTTAAAACGTTCTTCTAGAGCTGGGAGGGGGTGGTGCAGTATTAAAGCTCCTATGACCCTCAGCCAGCCGGAGATGATGCCTATTGCAGGCCAGCAGCAGGCCATACCCTGAATGAGCTGGAGCCTGCCGGGGATAGGGGGAGGCTGGGCAGGGCAGCTTCTCCACCGGCGGCCGAGACAGCTCGGGACACAGACTTACGCTGAGCTGCGGAGAAGGCCGCGTGTGCCAAGGCGAACAGACCGACCCCTACCAACCCCTTCCAGATCGAAGACGCCATCACTCCGGAGCGCCTTCCCTCTCGATGCTGCAAACAGCCGGCGGTCGCTGGCGGTGACGTCACCCGGTGCTAGCGGCGCGTCCTGATGACGCGCGCCCCATTGCAAGTCATAGTATTCGGAGATGGCGGCCATGTTGTGTTTGGCAGCTGTGTTCTGGCATGTTGTAGACATGGACTTTTCCAATCAGTGCCTGCCATCCACGGATCCATTTTCATCCATTTTCATGATACTCCTACATAGTTTAGATAGTATTATATAGTGCCAGCATATTCAATAGCTCTTTATACTGGAAAAAAAATACACAATGACAAATATTAACAATAATAAGTGGTTAAAGGGACAGTAGAGGCACCCAGACCATTTCATCTCATTGAGGTGGTCTGGGTGCACTGTCCCTGTCCCCCTTAACTTAGTTTTAGTCTTAGTTAATACTGACTTTAGAGTCTGTCTACCAGATAGCCACTGGAGGTGCTTCCTGCTGTTTTACTGAGTTTGACTATGGGAAAAGACGCTGGACATCCTCACACTTTGCATGAGGGCATCCAGCACCTTCAAAAACCCGATAGGAAAGCACTGAGGCAATGTTTTCCTATGGGGATGGCATAATGCTCTTGTGGTGTATTCACATTAGGTTCTCCCCAACAGCCAACATCGGTGGAGGAGGAGCGTCGAGGCACATCGGTGCTGGAATCCGGTAATTGTTTAAAGGGGTATTAACACCTATGCAGGTGGAGGGGGCAAAGGGATGCTTTAGTGTTCGAATACATCTTTGTATTCTTAAAACTAAAGTTTTCCTTTAAGAAGGCATGGCTTTAGAACAGTCCCATATTTGGTGGGACAGTCTGGAATTTTTGTCTTATCTTGTCCCAGCATACTGTGTTTGTTCCGTTTTGTTCTGCAGCATTAGATGGAAGCTATTTTATTTTGGGTGTTTTTTTTTGTACCTAAATAAGTACCATAACCACTACAGTCTATTTGAGACTTAGCCTGGCCAATCCGTAGGCACTTCATATAACATGAACACTTCTATATCTTCAGTGCAACTTTGAACAGCAGTGATAGACAATGAATAGTTGAAATCCAAATGGCAACATTGAAGCAAAAACAACTGATCTTTAAAGGATTTCCAACTCAGCAACAGCTTGGCTTTTTACACTGAAGCTAAGTGATTAAATCCCATTGTTTCTGTTTCTCCTTATATTTAGGGTCATTCATTAACGTGAGAATCATAAGGATTGCAAAATGAATTTTAAATTGTAGACAAAACTAGCTGAATTGGAAGCATACCTTTAGCTAATGTGGCCTTAAATGTGATAATTCTCACTCTAGTAAATAATCCTGGGTTCAAAGTCAGAAAACTGTAGTGCTTTTAACAACTAGAAAAGCTACAATTTCTGGGGAAATTGTGTGAAGTGTTCTTGCCTCCACCAGTAGTCTACAACTGGAGTGGGCGGAGTAACTGTTATCATTTATATAGCACATTTAATTGCAACGTTGTTGCACAGTTACATTAAACCATACATTTATAAAAACATTAGCAGGTGTTCAAAAGGCCCTGTCTATGACATCACTCGCTGCTGCAGCCTGGCACAGGTCAGAGTATTTTGGCGGTTGCCATCTTCAAATGGTCGTATTTTAAAAACCTTTTATACATTTATAAATCCTACAGCGAAGAGCTTTATATTGTGAGAATCACAAGACCCAGACCTACATTTCGATGCATAGTATGTCTCTGAAGTATTAAAAATGAAGGCACAGTCGCAGTTTAGAAATTGCACTTCAAATTTTAGCTTTGTAGAGTGAAGTTTCAATGAATGTCAATGGACGGCGTTAGTTGCAAACAAATGATTATATTGTGAAAACTATCAGGGCTTAGCCGTTGACATGTTTAGTGGCAGGAGGGATAGCTGAACGTTTTGATATAAGATTTGTGTAGGTGGGCCTGAAAATAAGGGAGTGGTGGCAGTTTAGAAATCATGTCCTGATTTTTCAGCTTTTGCCAGCTCCCACTCTAGCTTTGCCATTCATTCCTATGGGACAAATTTCGCCACAAGAACGACGATATTCCGTGAACCATTCGGCGAAACGTTCCACAAAGTAATAGCAATCCGATCGGGAACAATCTGCACGTTTTGGTAAATTTTTGTCTATGTAGTGTAAAAACTGTGGGAGGAGTTAGGGTGGCAAATTTTGCTATAATAAGAATAATAATAACTAGAAAAGTTACAATTTCTGGGAAATTGTGTGAAGTGTTCTTGCCTCCACCTGTAGTCTACAACTGGAGTGGGCGGAGTAACTGTTATCATTTACATAGCACATTTAATTGCAACGTTGTTGCACAGTTACATTAAACCATACATTTATAAAAACATTAGCAGGTGTTCAAAAGGCCCTGTCTATGACATCACTTGCTGCTGCAGCTTGACACAGGTCAGAGTATTTTGGTGGGTGCCATCTTCAAACGGTCGTATCTTAAAAACTATAACTCCTACAGCGAAGAGCTTTATATTGTGAGAATCACAAGACCCAGACCTACATTTTGATGCATAGTATGTCTCTGAAGTATTAAAAATGAAGGCACAGTCGCAGTTTAGAAATTGCACTTCAAATTTGAGCTTTGCAGAGTGAAGTTTCAATGAATGTCAATGGACGGCGTTAGTTGCAAACAAATGATTATATTGTGAAAACTATCAGGACTACGGCTTAGCCGTTGACATGTTTAGTGGCAGCAGGGATAGCTGAACGTTTTGATATAAGATTTGTGTAGGTGGGCCTGAAAATAAGGGAGTGGTGGCAGTTTAGAAATCATGTCCTGATTTTTCAGCTTTTGCCAGCTCCCACTCTAGCTTTGCCATTCATTCCTATGGGACAAATTGCGCCACAAGAACGACGATATTCCGTGAACCATTCGGCGAAACGTTCCACAAAGTAATAGCAATCCGATCGGGAACAATCTGCACGTTTTGGTAAATTTTTGTCTATGTAGTGTAAAAACTGTGGGAGGAGTTAGGGTGGCAAATTTTGCTATAATAATAATAATAATAACTAGAAAAGCTACAATTTCTGGGGAAATTGTGTGAAGTGTTCTTGCCTCCACCAGTAGTCTACAACTGGAGTGGGCGGAGTAACTGTTATCATTTATATAGCACATTTAATTGCAACGTTGTTGCACAGTTACATTAAACCATACATTTATAAAAACATTAGCAGGTGTTCAAAAGGCCCTGTCTATGACATCACTTGCTGCTGCAGCTTGACACAGGTCAGAGTATTTTGGCGGTTGCCATCTTCAAACGGTCGTATCTTAAAAACTATAACTCCTACAGTGAAGAGCTTTATATTGTGAGAATCACAAGACCCAGACCTACATTTTGATGCATAGTATGTCTCTGAAGTATTAAAATTGAAGGCACAGTCGCAGTTTAGAAATTGCACTTCAAATTTGAGCTTTGCAGAGTGAAGTTTCAATGAAAGTCAATGGACGGCGTTAGTTGCAAACAAATGATTATATTGTGAAAACTATCAGGACTATGGCTTAGCCGTTGACATGTTTAGTGGCAGGAGGGATAGCTGAACGTTATGATATAAGATTTGTGTAGGTGGGCCTGAAAATAAGGGAGTGGTGGCAGTTTAGAAATCATGTCCTGATTTTTCAGCTTTTGCCAGCTCCCACTCTAGCTTTGCCATTCATTCCTATGGGACAAATTTCGCCACAAGAACGACGATATTCCGTGAACCATTCGGCGAAACGTTCCACAAAGTAATAGCAATCCGATCGGGAACAATCTGCACGTTTTGGTAAATTTTTGTCTATGTAGTGTAAAAACTGTGGGAGGAGTTAGGGTGGCAAATTTTGCTATAATAAGAATAAGAATAACTAGAAAAGTTACAATTTCTGGGAAATTGTGTGAAGTGTTCTTGCCTCCACCTGTAGTCTACAACTGGAGTGGGCGGAGTAACTGTTATCATTTACATAGCACATTTAATTGCAACGTTGTTGCACAGTTACATTAAACCATATATTTATAAAAACATTAGCAGGTGTTCAAAAGGCCCTGTCTATGACATCACTTGCTGCTGCAGCCTGACACAGGTCAGAGTATTTTGGCGGTTGCCATCTTCAAGCGGTCGTATTTTAAAAACTATAAATCCTACAGCGAAGAGCTTTATATTGTGAGAATCACAAGACCCAGACCTACATTTTGATGCATAGTATGTCTCTGAAGTATTAAAATGAAGGCACAGTCGCAGTTTAGAAATTGCACTTCAAATTTGAGCTTTGTAGAGTGAAGTTTCAATGAATATCAATGGACGGCGTTAGTTGCAAACAAATGGTCATATTGTGAAAACTATCAGGACTACAGCTTAGCCGTTGACATGTTTAGTGGCAGCAAGGATAGCTGAACGTTTTGATATAAGATTTGTGTAGGTGGGCCTGAAAATAAGGGAGTGGTGGCAGTTTAGAAATCATGTCCTGATTTTTCAGCTTTTGACAGCTCCCACTCTAGCTTTGCCATTCATTCCTATGGGACAAATTTCGCCACAAGAACGACGATATTCCGTGAACCATTGGGCGAAACGTTCCACAAAGTAATAGCAATCCGATCGGGAACAATCTGCACGTTTTGGTAAATTTTTGTCTATGTAGTGTAAAAACTGTGGGAGGAGTTAGGGTGGCAAATTTTGCTATAATAATAATAAGAGTATAATAATAATATATATATTGAGATAACATTAGAAGTGAATTAACACACTTTATGCAAGAACACTTAATAATAATAACTAGAAGCTACAATTTCTAGGAAATTGTGTAAAGTATTCTTACTTACTCACCAGTAGTCCTACAACTGGGTGGGTGAGGAGTAACTTATCATTTACATAGCACATTTAATTGCAACATTTATTTGCACAGTTACAGAAGTAAACCATACATTTTATAAAAACATTGCTTAAGGTGTTCAAAAGGCCTTGTCTATAGCATCACTTACTACTGCAAGCTTGACACAGGTCAGAGTATTTTTTGGCCGGTTGCCATCTTCCAAATGAATTTATCTTAAAAACTATAACTCCCTACAGGTATGAGAGCTTTATATTGTGAGAATCACAAGACCCAGACCTACATTTTGATACATAGTATGTCTCTGAAGTATTAAAATTGAAGGCACAGTCGCAGTTTAGAAATTGCACTTCAAATTTGAGCTTTGCAGAGTGAAGTTTCAATGAAAGTCAATGGACGGCGTTAGTTGCAAACAAATGATTATATTGTGAAAACTATCAGGACTATGGCTTATCCGTTGACATGTTTAGTGGCAGGAGGGATAGCTGAACGTTTTGATATAAGATTTGTGTAGGTGGGCCTGAAAATAAGGGAGTGGTGGCAGTTTAGAAATCATGTCCTGATTTTTTAGCTTTTGCCAGCTCCCACTCTAGCTTTGCCATTCATTCCTATGGGACAAATTTCGCCACAAGAACGACGATATTCCGTGAACCATTCGGCGAAACGTTCCACAAAGTAATAGCAATCCGATCGAGAACAATCTGCACGTTTTGGTAAATTTTTGTCTATGTAGTGTAAAAACTGTGGGAGGAGTTAGGGTGGCAAATTTTGCTATAATAAGAATAATAATATGTATACTAGAAAAGTTACAATTTCTGGGGAAATTGTGTGAAATTATTCTTACTTACCTCCACCACCTTGAGTCCCACAACTGGGTGAAGGAGTAATATTATCATTTACACAGCAGCACATTTAATTTTTCAACACGTTGTTGCACAGTTACATTAAACCATACATTTTATAAGAAAACATTGCTTGAAAAGGTGTTCCAAAGGCCCTGTCTACTTGACATCACTTGCTGCACTGCAACCCCGGCCTGGAGTCAAGAGTATTTTTTTGTGATTTACTTGAAATGCTTCTAACACAGTCGTATCTTAGAAACTATAACTCCTACGGTGAAAGGCTTTTATATTGGCCAAAGAGATCCTGAGACCAGACCTACATTTTGATGCATAGTATGTCTCTGAGGTATTAAAATTGAAGGCACAGTCGCAGTTTAGAAATTGCACTTCAAATTTGAGCTTTGCAGAGTGAAGTTTTAATGAAAGTCAATGGACGGCGTTAGTTGCAAACAAATGATTATATTGTGAAAACTATCAGGACTATGGCTTAGCCGTTGACATGTTTAGTGGCAGCAGGGATAGCTGAACGTTTTGATATAAGATTTGTGTGGGTGGGCCTGAAAATAAGGGAGTGGTGGCAGTTTAGAAATCATGTCCTGATTTTTCAGCTTTTGCCAGCTCCCACTCTAGCTTTGCCATTCCTTCCTATGGGACAAATTTCGCCACAAGAACGACGATATTCCGTGAACCATTCGGCGAAACGTTCCACAAAGTAATAGCAATCCGATTGGGGACAATCTGCACGTTTTGGTAATTTTTGGTCTATGTAGTGTAAAAACTGTGGGAGGAGTTAGGGTGGCAAATTTTGCTATAATAATAATAATAATAGCCAATAATATATATGTGAGATAACATTAAAGTGAGATGCTTGCTATTTAAAGAACACTTATATAATAACTAGAAAAGTTACAATTTCTGGGGAAATTGTGTGAAGTGTTCTTACCTCCACCTGTAGTCTACAACTGGAGTGGGCGGAGTAACTGTTATCATTTACATAGCACATTTAATTGCAACGTTGTTGCACAGTTACATTAAACCATACATTTATAAAAATATTAGCAGGTGTTCAAAAGGCCCTGTCTATGACATCACTTGCTGCTGCAGCTTGACACAGGTCAGAGTATTTTGGCGGTTGCCATCTTCTAACGGTCGTATCTTAAAAACTATAACTCCTGGGGGCGTGGCTAGCCGGGCAAAGAACAAGACGTGCTGCTGTGGAGCTCCCGCAAGCCACACGGCTAAATAGCACAAATCGCCACGAACACAGACAGAAGTAACCCCCAAAAATACTCACCAGCTCTTGCAGAACCCCTCCAGGTCGCAATGGGGCGAAAAAACCGCAAATTAACTCACTCGGGGAGCGCTAAACAGCCGGACATCCGAGAGTCCTTTGAAAGGCCGCAGCAGACCTCGCTACCCAAGATGGCGCCCACAAGGACTCGAGACTCTAGTTACTCAGAGGAGTCCCTGGAGGAAGACAGCTTTATGCCAGCAAGGACCCTGAGCAAGGTATATGGGAGCGAAGAGTCTGACTCCGACACCTCACCCTCTACCAAAGGGGACATAAAAAAACTACTGACAGACCTACGTGAGGTATGGAAGGCCGACCTGGCTGGCGTGCGCACAGAGATTGACGGCCTCTCCACGCGGGTTGTGGCGGTGGAGACTAGGGAGTCACACAGGGAGCAGGAGCTCAAGGAGACCCGAGCCCAAATAGAAACTATGTCCCAACAAATTCAGGGGCTTACCCGCACGGTCACCTCGCTAGAATCCCGACACCGCAAGAAAAATGTACGGCTCCGCGGGATACCCGAAAGAGTGAACACGGAGACTATACTGGACTTCGCCAATGCAGTAGCAAAAACACTGGGAGTACAAACCAAGGCTGGCAACATGCCCCTCCTGACCGCGTTCCGAATACGAAAGGCTCCGACGGCCCCTGCGGATGCTCCCAGGGACGTCATAGCTGTCACCCGGGACATTTCCATTAAGGCTGCAATCCTGGCACGATCGAGGAATACCCCTGACATCAGGGTAGACGGATGCTCCATACGGGTATATGATGACCTACCCTTCAATGTCCTACTAGAGAGGCGGAGGTTTATGCCCGTGACAAAGGAACTCAGGGACAACGGGATCCGATACAGATGGGGAGCACTGGGCACCCTCGTAGTACAGCAGGGAGACACGATACTGACCCTCTCTGCACAAGAGGACCCAACCGGTTTCCTGACGGCACTTAACTTGCCACAGAAGGCAAAACTGGCGACAAATGCAGAAACAACATCGGCGACTGAAGAGGTCAGCACGGCACGGAGACGGAATCCAGAGGCGGGAACCAAGCATAGAGAACCACGAAGACTGAACCCACCATAAACAGGCTTGAATGACGGAGGGTAGGGGACACCATTACCCCCGGGACCTGCCAAAGACTGTAACACACTCTTGCCTGCTGAAAACGGAGAAAGCCCACACAATTAATACGATACACCTCCAACGACGACCTTACCCTACAGGACTTCCATCAGGTGACACCCGCTGTTTACACCCCCCTCCTGCCACCGACCTAGGCTAGACTAACGACCGGAGCAAACACACCACCTTAGCCCACACAACACAAATGCGCTAGCACTTGAGGCACACAATCACTCAGGGGTCCCCAGAACCTAGCCGGACACACCGACAATCCCTTACTCATAAGACCAGGCTATGGGCCACCCTCTCTGACAGAGGACTTGACAGGCCACGAACGGACATATTAGGGACATGGATACCCACGCACCTAAACACACACCCTACAGGCGGGTTAACAGGCCACACTGACACATATTCTCCCAAATCACAGGGGGACATCCTTCCACTAGCCACCTCGGAGCCTAGTCCCCGCTGCACCATAATGACAGTCCACAGACCCATCGATAAGTCCACTGATAGCTGGACTACATAACATCACCCATGATCGGAGCAGTAATATGCCTAACACACCTAGACGGCCACTACAATAGGGACTCCAAGACCAACTTGTCTTGACACCGTGTGCTCCTTCCTGCTACCATAGACTAAAACTGGACACATTACTCTCATTGCTTTACCTATAATATCTGTTTGTTATGAAGTAAAAGGATTGCTTGTGCCAGCTGTTGTGGCTGCACAGGCATAATGTTATATTTGTGCACAACATAAATAAAAATAAAGAATTTAAAAAAAAAAAAACTATAACTCCTACAGTGAAGAGCTTTATATTGTGAGAATCACAAGACCCAGACCTACATTTTGATGCACAGTATGTCTCTGAAGTATTAAAATTGAAGGCACAGTCGCAGTTTAGAAATTGCACTTCAAATTTGAGCTTTGCAGAGTGAAGTTTCAATGAAAGTCAATGGACGGCATTAGTTGCAAACAAAATGATTATATTGTGAAAATCCATCGTGACCGCGGGCTTCTAGCCGCCATATTGCTTCAAAAGTGTGATAGCTGAACGTTTGGATATAAGATTTGTGTAGGTGGGCCTGAAAATAAGGGAGTGGTGGCAGTTTAGAAATCATGTCCTGATTTTTCAGCTTTTGCCAGCTCGCACTCTAGCTTTGCCATTCATTCCTATGGGACAAATTTTGCCACAAGAACGACGATATTCCGTGAACCATTCGGCGAAACGTTCCACAAAGTAATAGCAATCCGATCGGGAACAATCTGCACGTTTTGGTAAATTTTGGTCTATGTAGTGTAAAAACTGCGGGAGGAGTTAGGGTGGCAAATTTTGCTATAATAATAATAACTAGAAAAGTTACAATTTCAGGGGAAATTGTGTGAAGTGTTCTTGCCTCCACCAGTAGTCTACAACTGGAGTGGGCGGAGTAACTTATCATTTATATAGCACATTTAATTGCAGCGTTGTTGCAATAAAGCTACATTTCAAAACCACATTTATAAAACATTAGCAGGTGTTCAAAAGGCCCCAGTCCGCGACATCAGTACTTGCTGCTGTGTAGCCTGACACAGGCCAGAGTGTATTCTTGGCGGCTGCTATCCTTCAAACGGCTCTGATCTTAAAAAACTAAGTAACTCCTACAGTGAAGAGTTTTTATATTGTGAGAATCACAAGACCTAGACCTACATTTTGATGGCTAGTATGTTCCCTGAAGTATTAAAATTGAAGGCACAGTCGCAGTTTAGAAATTGCACTTCAAATTTGAGCTTTGCAGAGCGAAGTTTCAATGAAAGTCAATGGACGGCATTAGTTGCAAACAAATGATTATATTGTGAAAACTATCAGGACTATGGCTTAGCCGTTGACATGTTTAGTGGCAGGAGGGATAGCTGAACGTTTTGATATAAGATTTGTGTAGGTGGCCCTGAAAATAAGGGAGTGGTGGCAGTTTAGAAATCATGTCCTGATTTTTCAGCTTTTGCCAGCTCCCACTCTAGCTTTGCCATTCATTCCTATGGGACAAATTTCGTCACAAGAACTTAATTTATATTCGCGTGAACTATCTCAGCAACGTTCCACAAAGTAATAGTAATCCGGACCGGAACAATCTGCACGCTTTGGTAACTTTTGTCTATGTAAGTGTAAAACTCGTGGGGAGGAGTTAGGGTGGCACCTTTGCTATAATAAGAATAATACCACGAATTAGAGTGCTACACCCCTGGGAAATTGTGTGAAGTGTTCTTGCCTCCACCTGTAGTCTACAACTGGAGCGGGCGGAGTAACTGTTATCATTTACATAGCACATTTAATTGCAACGTTGTTGCACAGTTACATTAAACCATACATTTATAAAAACATTAGCAGGTGTTCAAAAGGCCCTGCCTATGACATCACTTGCTGCTGCAGCTTGACACAGGTCAGAGTATTTTGGTGGTTGCCATCTTCAAACGGTCATATCTTAAAAACTATAACTCCTACAGTGAAGAGCTTTATATTGTGAGAATCACAAGACCCAGACCTACATTTTGATGCATTTTGTATGTCTCTGAAGTATTAAAATTGAAGGCACAGTCGCAGTTTAGAAATTGCACTTCAAATTTGAGCTTTGCAGAGTGAAGTTTCAATGAATGTCAATGGACGGCGTTGGTTGCAAACAAATGGTCATATTGTAAAAACTATCAGGACTACGGCTTAGCCGTTTACATGTTTAGTGGCAGCAGGGATAGCTGAACGTTTTGATATAAGATTTGTATAGGTGGGCCTGAAAATAAGGGAGTGGTGGCAGTTTAGAAATCATGTCCTGATTTTTCAGCTTTTGCCAGCTCCCACTCTAGCTTTGCCATTCATTCCTATGGGACAAATTTCGCCACAAGAACGACGTATATTCCGTGGAACCATTCGCTAAACGTCTTAAAGTAATAGTAACTGGATCGGGAAATAATCTGCACGCTTTGGTAAAATTTTGGTCTATGTAGTGTAAAACTGGATATAGGGGTGGCAAATTTTGCTATAATAATAATAAATCTGAAAAGTTGCTAAATTTCAGGGAAATTGTGTGAAGTGTTCTTGCCTCCACCAGTAGCCCTACAACTGGAGTGGGCGGAGTAATCCTATCATTTATATAGCACATTTAATCGCAACGTTGTTGCACAGTTACATTAAACCATACATTTATAAAAAACATTAGCAGGTGTTCAAAAGGCCCTGTCTATGACATCACTTGCTGCTGCAGCTTGACACAGGTCAGAGTATTTTGGCGGTTGCCATCTTCAAACGGTCGTATCTTAAAAAACTATAACTCCTACAGTGAAGAGCTTTATATTGTGAGAATCACAAGACCCAGACCTACATTTTGATGCATAGTATGTCTCTGAAGTATTAAAATTGAAGGCACAGTCGCAGTTTAGAAATTGCACTTCAAATTTGAGCTTTGCAGAGTGAAGTTTCAATGAAAGTCAATGGACGGTGTTAGTTGCAAACAAATGATTATATCGTGAAAACTATCAGGACTATGGCTTAGCCATTGACATGTTTAGTGGCAGGAGGGATAGGTGAACGTTATGATATAAGATTTGTGTAGGTGGGCCTGAAAATAAGGGAATGGTGGCAGTTTAGAAATCATGTCCTGATTTTCCAGCTTTTGCCAGCTCCCACTCTAGCTTTGCCATTCATTCCTATGGGACAAATTTCGCCACAAGAACGACGATATTCCG